TCAGGTGTATATCAGTATGTAGTGTCTCTACTTTAAAGAGTCCTCTCCTGCTGATGGTCAGGTGTATATCAGTATGTAGTGTCTCTACTTTAAAGAGTCCTCTCCTGCTGATGTTCAGGTGTATATCAGTATGTAGTGTCTCTACTTTAAAGAGTCCTCTCCTGCTGATGTTCAGGTGTATATCAGTATGTAGAGTCTCTTCTTTAAAGAGTCCTCTCCTGCTGATGTTCATGTGTATATCAGTATATAGTGTCTCTACTTTAAAGAGTCCTCTCCTGCTGATGTTCAGGTGTATATCAGTATGTAGTGTCTCTACTTTAAAGAGTCCTCTCCTGCTGATGTTCAGGTGTATATCAGTATGTAGTGTCTCTACTTTAAAGAGTCCTCTCCTGCTGATGTTCAGGTGTATATCAGTATGTAGTGTCTCTACTTTAAAGAGTCCTCTCCTGCTGATGTTCAGGTGTATATCAGTATGTAGTGTCTCTACTTTAAAGAGTCCTCTCCTGCTGATGTTCAGGTGTATATCAGTATGTAGTGTCTCTACTTTAAAGAGTCCTCTCCTGCTGATGTTCAGGTGTATATCAGTATGTAGTGTCTCTACTTTAAAGAGTCCTCTCCTGCTGATGTTCAGGTGTATATCAGTATGTAGTGTCTCTACTTTAAAGAGTCCTCTCCTGCTGATGTTCAGGTGTATATCAGTATGTAGTGTCTCTACTTTAAAGAGTCCTCTCCTGCTGATGTTCAGGTGTATATCAGTATGTAGTGTCTCTACTTTAAAGAGTCCTCTCCTGCTGATATTCAGGTGTATATCAGTATGTAGTGTCTCTACTTTAAAGAGTCCTCTCCTGCTGATGTTCAGGTGTATATCAGTATGTAGTGTCTCTACTTTAAAGAGTCCTCTCCTGCTGATGTTCAGGTGTATATCAGTATGTAGTGTCTCTACTTTAAAGAGTCCTCTCCTGCTGATGTTCAGGTGTATATCAGTATGTAGTGTCTCTACTTTAAAGAGTCCTCTCCTGCTGATGTTCAGGTGTATATCAGTATGTAGTGTCTCTACTTTAAAGAGTCCTCTCCTGCTGATATTCAGGTGTATATCAGTATGTAGTGTCTCTACTTTAAAGAGTCCTCTCCTGCTGATGTTCAGGTGTATATCAGTATGTAGTGTCTCTACTTTAAAGAGTCCTCTCCTGCTGATGTTCAGGTGTATATCAGTATGTAGTGTCTCTACTTTAAAGAGTCCTCTCCTGCTGATGTTCAGGTGTATATCAGCATGTAGTGTCTCTACTTTAAAGAGTCCTCTCCTGCTGATGTTCAGGTGTATATCAGTATGTAGTGTCTCTACTTTAAAGAGTCCTCTCCTGCTGATGTTCAGGTGTATATCAGTATGTAGTGTCTCTACTTTAAAGAGTCCTCTCCTGCTGATGCTCAGGTGTATATCAGTATGCAGTGTCTCTACTTTAAAGAGTCCTCTCCTGCTGATGTTCAGGTGTATATCAGTATGCAGTGTCTCTACTTTAAAGAGTCCTCTCCTGCTGATGTTCAGGTGTATATCAGTATGTAGTGTCTCTACTTTAAAGAGTCCTCTCCTGCTGATGTTCAGGTGTATATCAGTATGTAGTGTCTCTACTTTAAAGAGTCCTCTCCTACTGATGTTCAGGTGTATATCAGTATGTAGTGTCTCTACTTTAAAGAGTCCTCTCCTGCTGATGTTCAGGTGTATATCAGTATGTAGTGTCTCTACTTTAAAGAGTCCTCTCCTGCTGATGTTCAGGTTCATATCAGTATGTAGTGTCTCTACTTTAAAGAGTCCTCTCTTGCTGATGTTCAGGTGTATATCAGTATGTAGTGTCTCTACTTTAAAGAGTCCTCTCCTGCTGATGTTCAGGTGTATATCAGTATGTAGTGTCTCTACTTTAAAGAGTCCTCTCCTGCTGATGTTCAGGTGTATATCAGTATGTAGTGTCTCTACTTTAAAGAGTCCTCTCCTGCTGATGTTCAGGTGTATATCAGTATGTAGTGTCTCTACTTTAAAGAGTCCTCTCCTGCTGATGTTCAGGTTCATATCAGTACGTAGTGTCTCTACTTTAAAGAGTCCTCTCCTGCTGATGTTCAGGTGTATATCAGTATGTAGTGTCTCTACTTTAAAGAGTCCTCTCCTGCTGATGTTCAGGTTCATATCAGTATGTAGTGTCTCTACTTTAAAGAGTCCTCTCTTGCTGATGTTCAGGTGTATATCAGTATGTAGTGTCTCTACTTTAAAGAGTCCTCTCCTGCTGATGTTGAGGTGTATATCAGTATGTAGTGTCTCTACTTTAAAGAGTCCTCTCCTGCTGATGTTCAGGTGTATATCAGTATGTAGTGTCTCTACTTTAAAGAGTCCTCTCCTGCTGATGTTCAGGTGTATATCAGTATGTAGTGTCTCTACTTTAAAGAGTCCTCTCCTTACATGCACACAAACCTGTAGAAACCTTCCAGAACAAACACACGATGCAGCATGAACTTTTTTCTCAGTTTGGTTTTTATTATATTTGGACATTTAGCAAAACACTGCAAAAAACATCCAAAGCGGTTTCGGGTATAAGAGCTAACGGGTTCAACATACATAGAAAATTAAAATCATTGATTGCATTTGTTTATTCAGGAGCGGCCGGTACGAGCCACTGATTGCTATAATGAGACTCGAACGGTGCACCGTCCCCTCTTATAAATTAAAGAAGAAAATACATCACAGACCACACAATAATAAATTACACAAATAAATTAATAAATACATAAATAAATAGAAAACAGTTTAGATAGTGGTAATACAGAAAGGCTTGGTTATAAAGACAAACCCAGCCCCGTGATAAATACGTGTTGAAAAGACAGTTTAAGGCAGTTTGATAGCAGGAGTTTCTAATCCAAAAGGCATTACCGGCTACTCTACTTTGAATATTTCTTGTTTTCAGGCAACAGCTACTGATCCACGAGCTACTGATAAAGCTATATCAGAGTGATGAGATCAGGTTTCAAATCGGCTACAGGTCGTCCCCTCTCTTAGGTCTAGAAGCTAATAGCACTTGTGCAGAGATGCTAGAAAAATAAATTAACAGTCTAACAGGCTTTAAGTGAAGCATGACGTCAGTGTGTGTGTGTGTGTGTGTGTGTGTGTGTGTGTGTGTGTGTGTGTGTAGGGCCAAACACACACCCAGAACAGGCTGAAGTGTCCTAACGCAAGGCACTGAATTTCAACCATGAGGAGGAGTTACACTGCAAAAAATATCCTTTCATTTCTCTGTTTAACTGATTTAATATCGGCTTGAAAATTGGGTTAATTCCTCATTATTTTTATATTGTTATGAGCTACTTTTAATTTGTAATTAATATTGTCTGTTTTATTATGATGTATTATGATGATTTTTGTATTATTTAATGAATTGTACCACGGATATATATAAAGTGTTTTGCTCTATGAATAAAAGGCTTGATTATTTTACAATTATTTGTATATAATATCAAAAATAATAATAATATTAATAAAAGAGCACTTTTTTGAATTAGTATCCCAAAATAAGGCATATTATTGCAAACATTTTGAAGAAATGTACAGTTCAGATTGTTGAAAATCTAAAAATAGCAGAAACATTTGTTGATTTTTAACCACAGAACTAAAACTATGGAGACATGAGATCAGGAGTGACTGCCTCGAACCAAAGGTCGATGTCTTTTCCACTCAATTTGACCAAAAAGTCAGATTTTAGCGCCCGACCGTTGAAATAAACCAGATATGTTTGCAGTGTATCTCTAAAAACCCCTCTCAGGAACAGATCGGGATGTGTGTCCCGGTGTGAAAGCAGATTACCGGACCTGCAGCAGGATCACCTGCCGGTTCTCGGACGGGTGGCTCTTGTTGATGTGTCTCGTGAGCCCCGGGGAGCTGTAGAGCACCGCGGGGCAGTATTTACACGGGAACACCTGGGAGGAGTGCAGCAGGCGGACGTGACGCTCCTGGCTGCCCCTGTTCGAGAAGTTCTCCCCGCAAACCGGACACAGGTGGCAGGCGCTCAGGTTAAGCGGCGCTGCGCTCTGTTCGCGCACCGCTGCCGCTGCTGCCGCCGCTGCTGCTGCCGCTTCGTCGTCCTCCGTTACTTTAGAGTGCTGAGACGCCAGGTGTTTCCGCAGGTAAGCTTGGCGTTTAAACTTTTTCCCGCACTGGTTACAATCATAAAGCCCCTCCTCAGATCCGGACTCTGAGGGTCCCGGGCTGGTTGTGTCTCTGTCACTAGAATCCTTCGCTTCATCCAAAGCTGCTGCTGTTTTACCGGACGCGGCAGATTTGTCGCTCTCCAAGTGCTGCTGCGCGACACTCTGCTGCTGCTTGGGTTTGTGCCACCGCCTGTGCGACGCGAGGTTCGCCGGGCAGCTGAACACCTTGTCGCACTCGGGACACCTGTACTCCACGCGCACGATCCTGGAGCATTTGTGCTGCGCGAGGGCGAGAGGATCCGCGTATTCTTCGCGGCACAGCTGGCAGACGAACTCCCCCAGTGGGATGTATTCCTCCCCGGTGAGACTGGGGGGCTTCCGGTCCACCGGCTCTTTAATCTTGAGCCCGAGCACCGGAGACGTGGTGACGTTATCCTCAAAGTGCAGTTTCCGGATCGTTTTGGTTTTCTTGGACGCTGGTTTTCCTTTGCGCTCGGTGTCGCTTGAATGCCGCTTTGTGTTTGTGGGGAGCGTCGCGGTGGATGCGGTAACGTTGAAGGTTCCGGTGCGACTGCTGTTGCTGGAACCGATTTTCAGATCCACCGGGGCGAAGGGGCGGTCCAGAGCCGCGGGGAGTGCCGCTCCGGTGGGGAAGGACGCAGCGGAGAGGTTGAAGCGCCTCTCGTAGGAGCGCTCGTCGTCCTGGCTGACGGGGCGCGTGGGGCTGTAGAGAGCCTGGTACACCGCCTCGGGGTTACCGAACTGCACCGGTCTCTCCACGCGCTCCGGAGCCACCGCCCCGCACGTGGGAGTCTGTGCGCGCACCGGGAAGGATGCGAGAGGCACCCAGGAGGGACGCGGCAGGAGCGGTGGAGGTGGAGGTGGCACGGCAGCAGCTGAAGGCTCTTCATCCTCGACGCGGACGCGGTACGACACCGGGTTTGGTTTCTTGTTCCTTTTCACTAAAAATCCTCTGGGCATGTTTCTGCTGGATGGAGAGCGGAAGGCACTGTTTTTTGGGGAAGGGAGCAGATCCACTTTCAGGACATCTGACGCGTCTGTTTCTGCCGCTACTGATCGTCCGTTCTGCTCCCTGTTCTGATTCCTTTCACCACAAACATAGCTGCACTCTTTTTAAAGGCGACATGATGACATTGTTCCCGTCACCCCCCCTCCTCGTTGACTCATCACCGACCAATCAGAAGCAGGAGATCTCCCCAGTGGATTTGGGGGAGTGGGAGGATGGAGAGAGAGGAGGTGATTCTCAACAACCTGCCTAATGAGCCTTTCCCCCAATATTAAGACAGTATTCTAACATCCCTGAAACAATGTGGACTTTATCGGCTACAAAAACAATCTCCCTAAAACAAAACGTTAAGGATTCAAAAACCACATGAAAAATACATTGGTTTTTATATAAATGGATTTTAAATTGGGCTGACTACTATTATACAATATCAAAACTGTCCTTTGTGACATAGCAGCATATTTTAGAATATAACATAATTTAAGCAGCATTATTGAATACAACTTAATATAGTAAAGTGATGGATTTTGTAGTATTATGAAAATAATCTTGTTTATATCTTTCAAATAAGCCCGACAGCAGATACACACCTAAATAATAATCTAATAAAACAGAGTTATAATCTGTCAAATAACTTCTGGCAGCAATTTGTGTTCAGATTTAGAATTGAAGACATTCAAAGACTTTCTCAAATATCCAAAAACAAACCGCATTTTGACCAAAACATAATGTCCACGTTTGGGATTAATAAAGTCTTCTTCTGAGATTGATATTCAATTTCATTAAAAAAATATTCTGCACACGAGTCAAATATACTCCTATATGTATATTGTGTTAGTGATTTTATTACAGTGCAACTTTTTACGCTGTGTATTTTACATTGTGTTTCTAATGGATTCTCTGTAAAGTGGATTTGTGTGTGTGTGTGTGTGTGTGTGTGTGTGTGTGTGTGTGTGCAGGAGGGGGGGGGGGGTTGCAGATTGCAAAGCAGATGTACCTGAGGGTTTTATTGTCCCCCCCCTCCACTCTCACCCCCCCCCCCCTGTCTCACACGCGCCAGGAGGCTCTGCTTTCACGGTCTGATGCGTTTCTATAGAAATCTACACGTGCCTCGGCTTTATGTGGGAGGGTGGGGATCGAGGAGAGGGGGGTGGGGGGGGGGCTGTGATTTATCCCCAAAAAAAGAAGGAGGAATCCGTCCGCATAACGATGTCAGGAAGAAGGGGTAACTAAGGAAAAGTGGAACATGGAGAAAGAAGAGCTCCAGAGATGAAAGGGAAGCTCAGAGTGAAACTAAAACACGACACATTATGTTTTTGCTTCTGAGTTATTCTGTATCAGAAACAGAAACGTAAGTCATAGATATTTGGAAAACTTGAGCTACGAACTGATCATAATTAGTAATAGTGAGCTGTCCTTTTTTAATGATATAAAAATAACTATTATTTTCGACTTGAATCTGCGTCTTCGATATTTGAAACGACATCTTTTTAAAAACAGTTTGAAATAAAAAGGAGTATTTTTAGAAATGACATTAAAGTGATAATCAGCATTTCTTGGTGAAATAAGCACAACAGCTCCTGAAGTCATAATACAATTCATTAGAGTTGTAATCTTGAATGTAACTCGTGTCAGGACCTTGTGTTCAGATTTCAGACTGAGGCATTTCAAAGCTCTCCAGGTCAGATGCATATTCCCCCGAAAAGCAGACTTTTACGCGCTTTGATTTGAATCCGGCTAAATACATTTAACCAAACAAAGTGATTGTGTTCTCCCATGTGGCCTTGCAGCATGTGCGCTGGCGTGACAGTTAACTCCGGACATATGAATCCGTCATTTCGCGCATACATAATTAATAGCGAGAGGAGGGTTTCCTGCTTAGCATCACAATGGCTGCAAGCTGTACACCCGTCGTGATTGAAAAGGAAATTGCACAGTGGAAAGAAGGGAGTAGAAGAAGAAGAAGGGAGAAGAAGAAGAAGGGAGTAGAAGAAGAAGAAGAAGAAGAAGAGGTGGGGGCCCTCTCCACAAAAAAAAGAAAAAGCAATCTGGCCCCCGATACCGTCGGCGCGTGCTGTGCGTAATCAGTGCGCTCTTTCTGTGTCACCAAATGGGCCAAACCGAGATTATGTGCGCGTTCAGAGACTGAAAACCCAAATAGTGCGAGCAGGTCAGCCGGATGGGAGTCTGTCTGAGCTCTGAGATGCTTGAACATAATCATTAGTGCGAAGTCAGAGTGTCGAGGTTTGAGGTGTTCTCAAACTGCGACCGTTTACAACCAATGCTGCTTTTTGCCTACAATTCGTATTTTCTTCAATTGTCCGTGTTTTCTTTTGTAAGTTGGGTTTGTCTGTTTACTCAACACGTTTGGATCATATAAAGTCCTTGAAGTGTTTATTTAATAATTGTATGCCATAACAACTATAATAAAACAACATAACAACTCTAAAGCAGTACTTTTGAATATAAGGTCATTAAAGGAACATTAGTGAGTACAGTGTATTATGTATCTGCACTCTAAGTATCCTATGTTTGGTTGATAGTGTATTCGGACTTGTGTATTTATATATATTTATTATTTATCCATCAACTGTTGAAATGCATATATTTACTGTTATTCTCTTATATTTCTAGCTTGCTTACATGAGGATACATAAAACATATCTTATCCCAAAAAGGTCAGAAACAAAAAGGAAACAGAGACATGTTGATGTTCTTGAAACCTCATAATGCAGCTTGAACAGACACAAAGTAAACCATCAGATGTCTAATAACTCACAACTACAGAAGAAGTCATTTGAATATTATAATCAACACAAACGGCTTCTTTATAACTTAAAAAGCAGCATTATTAGAATGAAAGTGCGTTAGAGTCACACCGAGTCAATAACACTGACTGCATTGCAGACATAAAGGAAGGACGTTGCATCTTGTCTGTGGAGTGACAGCGTCCGCTCGATGGTGACAGCGGAGGAATTCAGTGTAATCTGCATTATGTAAATATAAAGGCCTGATTCCTGTAGTATGAACACCAGCAGGCTGCAGGTTGTTTAGCTGCGGACATATGTTGTTGTGTGTGCGGTTATTTTTCAGCCTCATTAACATACAGCTGTAGAGTGACACCCCCCACCCTCTCCTCCCATTTTGTCCCCTCTTCTCCTCCCCCATAATGCCTTCATGTGCAGCCTGTGATTGGTCACGCTGCTGCAGAGTCACAGTTACAGTTGGCACATTGTGGAGGAGAGGTCTGTGGAAACAAGCGTTCAAACCCTCCTTCCCTTCAAACTGCAGCTCATGTCAGTTAGAGACCATTTATCAGGTGCTCGTCTACGGAGGGGAAGAACGACTGAAGTTTGCACGAGACAAATGTCCTGGAGAAGTCAAATTAAGGTACACATTTAAAGGACTTAAAGTCACTCAGTGTGAAGTGTTTACAGGTAACATTACATTCATACAAACACTTTTCAGTAGCTTCAAAAGTCCCTTAAAAACGGTATTATCTTGATTAGTAAATAAGGAATACTTACTTTACAGTTAAGTGACTTTTCTTCAAGGAATTATTCTTGTAACGTTGCTGCTTTGCTTTCAACACCACTGTAATCATTAGAACATTAGCAGACATACGATCACCAACGATATCATTAAGGGTTAGGGATTCATCGTAATCACATATTACTGCTTTTTGCTTATTTCACGTGACTTTAAGCTCTTTGGGTTTCAGACTGAAATCATCTCTGCCTTTTTATAGAAGCAACTATGAACCAATTACTCTAGAAAATAATTGTAGCTTTTTGTGGTGTCCCCCTCGCTGTATGCGTTCTGCATGTTTTAGTGCATGTAAATGGTCTGCAAAGGCTCAAATCCCTGGCCGTTCCTCAATGTGGAGTGCAACTGCTGCGGAGCCACTATTTCAAGTATACTAGGTCATCGAGTGGAGCCGAATGCTGGGCATTCAAACAGTCCTTCGGCGCCACTCGATGACCTAGTATACTTGAAATAGTGGCTCTGCAGCATGCTTACTCCACATTGAGAAACGGCCCCTGTGTGTCCTTCAGAGGGAGTTTCTCTCACTCCCTTCAGCCTGGAGCCAAATGAGCAACTCCACACTTCCAGATGTTATACGTTTGCAAACTCGTATTCTACAAACCCAACAGACTCACGAAACATCACTTTAAAGGTCCCATGTCATTTCTACTCATCATAGTTCCATCGTTGAGGTCGACTAGAATAGATTCACTTTGTTCAATGTTCCAAACTCACAGTGGTTTCTCACAGCATCTCTGATAGTCTGTGCATTCACTCTCTGTGCTACACGCCTTGTTGGAGCTCCTGCCCCCCCTCCTCCTCCCTGTGAGCCCACTGTGCTCTGATTGGTCGAGACGTTGCAAGGCTCGTTGCTGCGAGGAGCGGACAGGCTTCCGTGTCGGCGATGCAGCGAGAACAAGCTAAACTCATCCTGAGCACACAAACACTCACAGCCGAAGTAAACACAATAAGTGTGGCTTGATATTGAGGAAGAACAAGGTTTATAACGCTGTGAGAATGGGTCTGCGGAGAGCATTCCTCCGCCATCCCAACGTAGCAGCCCGAAAAACGTTTACCCATTGAAACAGTCGTGATAGATACCTTGTTTGTTTTAAACATCATAAATACACAAACAACAATGAATACTTACAGGTTGTGTACCCGAATCTCCCGCTGGTCCAAACAAAGTAGGAACAGCATCGTTCTTCAGTGCCCTACGCTGAACATCCGGCATGAGTCCTGAAAGGTTTGAGAAGCTTTGTT